GTGGCCTAGGGGGAACCCAGTCACCAGGCGCCCTCAGCCTTCAGCCGGCCCCAGCGAGGAGCTCTCATGGCTCTTACTTCCTCCCCCTGGGCTTCTCTAGGGGAGCAGTGGGGCCCATTAAAAGCGCCCCATGCCAACCGCTTCATCTTCTCTCACGACCTCTCCAACGGGGCCATGAACATGCTGGAGGTGTTCGTGTCCAGCCTGGAAGAGTTTCAGCCCGACCTGGTGGTCCTCTCGGGGTTGCACATGATGGACGGACAGAGCAAGGAGCTGCAGAGGAAGAGACTGCTGGAGGTAAGGGCGCCGAGTGCACCTGCCCGTGGCACCTCAGCGGGGGTTCTCCTCCAGCTTCCCACCCCTCTGGGCCGCTGTAGCTTGTGCTAGTTTGCCTTTGTCCTGGCTTCCCAGGCCGTGCCTCTTGGGAGGGCCGCCCCGCCTCCAGGGAGACACCTCACTGTGCGCTTGCAGGCGTGGACAGTGGCTGGAGTGGGACAGGTCAGAAACCCCTTGCCTGAGTCTCTGCATTCTGTGCCAACTGGAACGTGGCTGCACACGGCAGGGCTCTTGTCTGCCGCCTCACTGCACACCAGGAGGCCAAGGGCCCTGCCGGCCTGGCCACTCAGCCCAGGTCCTTAGGAGTATGCTAGCAACTCACAGGACTGGGAAGATTCTTTGTCAGAGCTCTGAGTGTGCAGGCCGGGGCCTCTGCAGGACCTCGTCTTCCCTGCTGTGTGCCATGCCCTGGCCTGCGGAGCCCAGTGATGGGCCATGTTGCTGAGAGCCCTCCCGAGGCATCAGCCTTCTTCTCCTTCCTGGCATCCTTCTAACAGCCCTGTCACCCTCTGTTCTTTGCAGGTTGTCACCTCCATTTCTGACATCCCCACCGGGGTTCCCATCCATTTGGAGCTGGCCAGCATGACCAACCTAGAGCTGATGCGCAGCATCGTGCATCAGGTAAGCCCCAGCGCAGGGCATGCAGGGTGCACATACACACTCCTCTGTCCGCCAAGCCAACTGCTTGGCAAGAGGGGCTCGCACTGGCCTAGGCTCGTGGCTGTGCTGTTCTGGGGTGGGCTTCTCCGTCTGAAGCAGGGAGTTGTTTTCACAGAACCTAGCAGAAAACGTAGAGTCAGCTCAGCTGCTTTCCCTCGGACCTTAAGAAGCCAACAGAGAGGAAACTGGGGAGTTTCACTCCCTCCTCGCCAAGCATCCAGGTGCTCACCTCCTGCCTTTGGAGGGGCAGGGGCTCAGGTAACTGCAAGAGCAGGAGGGCCCCAAATAACCCCGGAAGGCCTGGGTGGGTGGCAGATCCACCCGCACGAGGACCAGGCGAGCAACACAGCCACTTAAACTAGGAGCGTCTTTCTGAGGTTAAACAGATATAAAAAGATGAACGCAGGGACTGCAAAGCGCTAGTGGAAAAACACTTTAACTTTTCAATTCCCTTAACGTTCCAATGTCCCACTAGCCTTTTGAAGCCCCCCGGTAAAAGGAAGTCTCCCCATCTTGTACTTTTATCCTGCCTGGGAGCAAGCACAGATACAGGAAGCCTCAGACTGGGCTTGCTGCACTGAAGCATTTAGAAGCTTGATGTCAGAGTGCCCGCCCTGAGAACCGCTGACCTTCCATAAGTCATGTTTACAGACAGTTTCTCACAACCTGACCACCTGAACATGGCTAATCTGACAGGTGGAAATCGCACTGCGCACTTCTCATATGGAGGTGGACCATCCTTCACTTCTTTCAACGATAGCCATTTTCACCTCCTCTTCTGTGCAACGTCTGCATCACCTTTCTGGGCCTCAGTCCCTCTTCCCTCGCAGGGCAACAATAAGGAGAATGAACTAGAGCCTTTAGCTCAGGGCCGGCCTGGCACAGAGCACACAGTGAACGAAAGCTGCTAGGATAAGAGCAAAGGCTTCGGCCAATGGAAGAGCCCTGGTGGCTCAGCGGGATAAGCACTGGAGCACTAACCTCAAGATCGGTGGTTTGAACCCACCAGCAGCTCCATGGGAGAACGATGGAATTGCCTGCTCCCATAAAGATGTACAGCTTTGGAAATCTGATTCAGGGCCACTGAGTTAGAACTGACTTGACAGCAGTGGGTAGACTTAGGCTATTCGTTAAAATATATAAATACACACACGGGCTCATGTATCCTCAGACATTTACAACATGCGAACGAGCCTTCCAAGGTTCCAAGGGGGCACATGCTAGAGCAGGGGTTCCCAACCTTCTTCGTGCAGTGACCCTTTCATACAGGTCCTCATGTGGGAGTGACCCCCAACCATAACATTATTTTCATTGCTACTTCATCACTGTTATTTTGTTACTGTGATGAATCCGGCGACTCCTGTGAAAGGGTTGTTCGACCCCCCGGTTCAGAGCCACTGTGCTGGAAAGCTGGTGGGTGGCCTGGTCGCCCCTGGAAAGAGGAAACAGCAGCTCAGCTGCTCTGCTTGCCACCCCCTCACTGCTGCACACTCAGGCTTCGTGGCCCACACCTGCTCCAAACGCCGCAGGTGGGATCGGGAACGGGCTCTTCCTCATCGCCTGGTGGTGGCCCTGCCTTCATGCCTGGGTTGCCTTGTCTTGCTGGGATGGTGCCTGCTGCCAATTAGGAACTGAAGTCTCATCCCAGCAAAGTTTGGAGTGTCTGCTGTCGGCAAAGGCAAAAAAGCATGGCATCTTGGAAAGAAACACAAAGTATTGTGTCCACCCCTGCCCTCTAAACACTTTTGCACACTGCCTTACAATGGTGCATCTTGTGTCCACCCTTGCCCTCTAAACACTGACAGTTTTGCACACTGCCTTACGATGGTGCATCTTAACGGTCTCAAGCTGAGGTAGAGCAGCTTCTGGTTGACCTGCAGTGGTGGTAGAGGTGCTGGTGGTGAGAGCTGTATCAATACCAGCAGTGAGGGGCATGTGATCCATCATTTTGGAACCACTGACTTTGGGGCTGAGAATCATAATACCTGCCTCCCCCTCAGTAAGTCCCAGCTGTGTCCTAGGACACCTGCAGAGAGAGACCGTTGTTTCTTTTTTGTTAGCAGGTCTTCCCTGTGGTGACCTCCCTTGGGCTGAACGAACAGGAGTTGTTATTCCTCAGCCAGGCAGCCTCTGGTCCTCACTCTTCTCTCTCCTCCTGGAGCGGTGTTCCTGATGTGGGCATGGTCAGTGACATCCTCTTCTGGATCTTGAAAGAACATGGGAGAAGTCAGAACCGAGCCTCGGACCTCACCAGGATCCACTTCCACACACTGGTCTACCACATTCTGGCAACCGTGGACGGGCATTGGGCCAACCAGCTGGCGGCTGTGGCAGCTGGGGCCCGCGTGGCTGGGACACAGGCCTGTGCCACAGAAACCATCGATGCCAGCCGAGTGTCCCTGCGGGCACCCTGGGAATTCAGCACGTCCCACTTGGAGGCCGGCTCCAGGATCACTGTAAACCCCAGCAAGCCAGTAGTGGAGTGGCACAGGGAGGGGATATCCTTCTACTTCACGCCGGTCCTGGTGTGCAAAGATCCCGTGCGAACTGTGGGCCTGGGAGATGCCATCTCAGCCGAAGGACTCTTCTACTCCGAAGTCCATCCTCAGTAGGAGGGCGATGGGTAGGGACAGCCTGCCCGAGGCAGGAGAACCGGCCAACTGTAGAGTCACAGAAAGAGTGGTTTGGAAACCGGGGATTCAGGTGTCAGAGGGGTTTCTAGATTTGATTGGAGAGCCAAAGAGCAACAACAGCAGGTTAGACTACCAGCTACATTCCAGCCGTTGGCAACCACACAGAAACAGTTCAGGTTTTAATCACGGTTTTAGTTATGTGCTAATACAACTGGCCTTTTTTAAATGTTGTGTGTCACAGGGGTGAGAACTTGATTCCCAAAGCCCCCGTTTATGCAGAGTCATCAAGTATCGTAAGCCAAATGTCATAATCAGAGCATGTCAACTGGAGACCACCCCCCCTCTGGGCCCCCTTGAGTAGCACGTGTTCGTGCACCACCCCGTCCCCAGTGGTTCTCAATTTTCCTCCCTAGCACAGTGCTCACAGTGGGCTGGGGCCTTCCATTCAGTGTTTCAGTGAAAACAGCTCATGAGCTTACCTGCCCAGTCTCCTGCCCTCTTGACTTCAGACACAGCCACAAACAAGGACTCAGCTTCCTCGGGCAGCAGAGGCTGTGAGGCCAGGCCTCCCTCTGCAGCAGGCTGGGACACAGTGTGGCGTGCTGCAGGGCCTGTGGTCAGGGGCTCCTGGGGCCTGGACGCACACAGCCCAGCGCTAGACCAGCACTTTGCAGCGGGAGGCTGGTGCTCCGCTCATTCTCAGCCTTGCCAAGAATGTGCTCTGACGATGACGGGGTCTGCGGTACCTGGAACAGATGGTGTAGTGGCTGACGTGTCCACTGACAACACCACATCCACTGAAGAGCCTCAGGATCATGAGTGAATTTGTCATGTTTGTTGTTTTGTTTTTTTAATCAAGGAGATGTCTGTGTGCTTTAAAAAATATTAAAAATAGTTTACATTTCAGGGATCCTATTTGTCATTGATTTTGTTCCCACCTACCACCGCTGTAGTGCAGATAAACTAGTAACCACTCTGAGCTCGGCGCAGTTGACAAGGGCCTGTACTCTGGAGGTGTCTTTCTTGGGTGCGTCGTTTCTATCTTTGATTCAGGCAGTCCCTGAACTGCACCTGGGCTACAAACCCATCCCTCTGAGAATAGAAGGATAAGCTAACGTAGCCAAGTTGAAGTATAATTGGAGCCTAACACCTTGAATGAATCATGAGCCTTTTCAGTTCGCTCAAAGGGGCAGTGCAGGCCCAGCAGCTGGCGGCAGGCTACTTAGTTCTACACCAGCCCCACTGCCTCTGGAATCCCAAAGCTACCTCAAGTTCCTCGGGAATAACCTCCCTCCCCTTGAAGGAAAGATGTGGTTGTGCTATTAGCTTCAAAGAACATTCAAACCATGAGAATTATGGAGTTTGAAATTGAAAGCGAATAGTGTAAACTCAAACTACTACTTCATTCTTCCCTGCCTCCAAGCTCCGTCAAGAACTGCTCAAAAGAAGAACACTCAACTCCAACTTCTGCCTTCTGTTGTTTGCTTGTTGTCATAGCTCTTAAACTATGGTTGGCTGCCTTCAAATCTACTCCATCTGATGGCAGTCTTACAACAGAATGAAACATTGCTAGTCCTGCATGATCCTCAGAATCACTAGCAAGTTCAAGTCCTGTGGTAAAGATTTTGTATCACCTTGACCGAGCCAAGATTCTCTGGTTCGGCAATTAAAACCTAGTACTCCCCCATGATATTTGAGGGTCTGGCCTGCTTCCAGTATGAGTGGATGCTATGGAAAAGCTTGCTTGCCTTTTGTTGAGTGGATCCTGCATCTGATTTGTCAACCTCCAGTTCTTTGGACCTGAGCCAGTGGCCTATTACATTCCCTGCCAATCCTGGGAGTCAGCAGCAGCCAGCAAGTCGTCTGACTTGCTGCTCTTGAATTCTTTTACCTCTGCAGCCAGAAGTCTGTCATCCTGCCAATCTTGGGTTCATCATCCCCTGCAGCTACATGAGTCAAGAGAAGCCTGGAGCCCTGCGAGTACAAACTCTTAATGGCACTATGTCTGGTGACAAAACACTAATCCCATGCTATCTTCACAGTCATTTGCTGTCTGAGCCCATTGTAGCAACCATTTTAAAGCCATCTCGTGGAGGGCCTTTCTCTTTTCCTCACCCTCTACCAAGCACCTTGTCCTCTAGTCCTTCCTGAAACATGTTCAAAGTATGCGGGATGACAAGTACTCCCTTAACACATGAACACTTTGTTCTAACAATCGGGCATTCTGTGATGCTCACCTTCCCGACAGGATCCTGAAGACAAAATCGGTGCATAAGCAAATGTGGTGAAGAAAGCTGATGGTGCCCAGCTATCAAAAGATACAGCATCTGGGGTCTTAAAGGCTTGAAGATAAACAAGCAGCCATCTAGCTCAGAAGCAACAAAGCCCA